CTATACATTTTCAAAGCGTTTTACTAATCAAAAAAAAATTATTTCTTCCTTTCTTTCTTGGGTTTATCGGGTAATTAAAAAAAAAATTATACTAGTGTAAATCTTTCTGCACTGTATTACAACAATGTTGTTTATTCGATACACGATACAATATTTTTTTGAAACTTACTAATTTATACTAAAAACTGGTTGATGGTGTAGCCTTCTACAGGGCTGTAGAACTGTAGAAAACAAAAAATATTATCTATAACAATTACATGACCGACGTCAATGAGTGTACATAATTGACGCGATTTATTAAAAAAAAAATCAAATATATATTAATTATTTGTGTTTTAATATTTATTGTATCAATATTATTTATTATAAGTGGATAGTAATAAATATGAAATAGTAAAACAAAAACAACACGTATAAATTATTTAATTAAACACAAATAGTTATGATGAGGAGGCGACGGGGAAGGAATAACAGAAAATAAAAACACGTAACGCGCAGGCGCGTAACGAGTATTTATACCTTTTATAATATGGTACAAGAAAATTCTGGTTTGTAGCAGCAGCAGCAGCAGCAGCAGCCGCCGCCACCGCCGCCGAGAGCCCTCCCCAAAACGAGTAGTCTATAATGCACTGTACGAGTTTAGAGCCTATTCGAATGCGATGGTAAAATATCACCCCTGTGCAATACACCAACCCCTCCCACGACGAGTAGTGTAACTAAAAGTGCGTTAACATTAGTTATGAGTAATTCTTGAAAGTGAATTGATCTATTGGATCGATTTAAATTGAATGAAAAAATCTATTATAAAAGATCAGTGGCAAAAAATCGATTCACTTAAAATGTGTTTTTTTGTAATCAATAGAAGACACTCTTTGCAGATTTGTCTGTGATCAAGGTGAAAAATAGATGAAAATATAAAATATGTAGTAACTTTTAGTGATGGAAAATTCTTGAAAGTAAATCGATTATAATCGGAATGAAAACTTAGTGATAAGAACAAATTGTAGTATTAGCACTGTGAAAATATCAGAAATCGGATCAACATTAATATTGAATTGATTCACATAAGATATCGCATCAACAATTCAATTCTATCCACAAAAACAAATCGATCTCTTAGAAGATAGGATCATGAGATCAATTCAAAAAATCGATTCTTTGCATAAAAAAGATCGATTCAAATTGCCTATCACCAATTTACCTTATGCTCAGAAAGCGAACTAATACGTATTCGCCACGCCAAATCATATCAATCATATAAGTGTTAACGGCTCTGCCGAATACAAACCAATAGTTGATTCTGTATTTGTCCGTCTTCGTGCCGGTGAGAAAAATTAGTGATAAAGATAACAAAAAATGCCTATTCAGTGCAATAGTGCGATTCAGTATTCGGCCATGTTCGTAATCACAACTGTTTATTTCTTTAAATATCAAGTACATTGATTTTTTATTTAATTTGGAATATTAATGTAAAATTTAATAAATATGGACTGGACTAAATATGGAATTAAAGCATTTTATTTGGAAAACTACTGGTTCTCAGTACAAAATGTCTAAAAAAAAGTTGACTTTTGAAAAAAAATTTAACTAGAAACTAATGTAAATGTAGTAAAAGCATGAGCGTCCCTAGAAATTTTTTTAGAGTAGCAAAATTAACTTAAAAATAAATGAAGATTTATTTATACATTTACATATATCATATAATATAAATTTATACATATACTGATATTTTATTTATAATATATTATTATTTCTCTTCTTTATTACAATTAGGTATTATTATTATATATTTTATTAATACATTATTATTTTTCATCGAATATAAGATTAAATACGATAAAATAAAATGGTCCAAATTTTATTAAAGATAGTTTTCTTCTGTATATAATATACATGTTATATTAATCTATGTTTACTAAGTTGACGCGTTACAGATATGCTTTGGAAAGTAAATTTAAAATTCTAGGGGGAGATAAGTGCCCCGTCTTGCTCCCCTCCCTGGGAACGCCCATGAGTCGAAGTAAAAAGAATAAGAGTAAGTAGAAAGCCTTCTAGCATAATACCGGAGAAACAACGCGAGGGAAAAATTGTACGTACTGAAGCTAATAGTAAATCGTCATCATCACTTGATAAAATTTTAAATTAAAATGTATAAAAATATTTTAAAACCAAATTAATAAAATTAAGCAACATTATCGTGCATCTACTCGACTCTAAACAATGTTTGTACTTGTATTCTATACCAGGGTATTGGAGAGACGAAAGCTAGCGATTGCCTAACGAATAAATCGGATCGACAGTTCGACCCAGTGGTTGGCGAATTCACATTTGAATTTGTTCGGTAGCAAATATTCGTATTCGTTCGTATTTGCACCATCATGTAAACGCACCTTAACGACGAAGGTTTCGATTCACGTACACACGCAGGATGAAAAAAGAGCGGGATGTCCGTTAAATGAAGTGACGATCGTTTGTAATAGTGTTGTGGCGAGAGAAACGAAGGGGAAAAAATAGCGTATTCAAATAATGAGTGCTATAATAATACTTAAGTGTAATAGTATTGTTGTGTTATCAAGACGATTCACGTAGAAAATTCTGACGATCGCGCGGGGCAGGAAATATAACGGTCTTGGTTAAATCCCCGAATAATTGGTAAACATTATTTTTAAAATCGGTAATCGACTGATAAAATGATTGATGTTTTTTCCCATTTCTGTGGGCACGGGGATCTCAATGTCGCATATCGTTTTGGTATGTTAGAGTTACGTGTTCAACAATTATGTTAGGAAATAAATCGTGCGACGCATAATTATAAAATAATAATTAATATAACGTCGATTACGGTATTCGCGTAACCGAATAAAGTACACACATGCACGTTTTCAGTACATGACGCTTTTATTTGTACACAGATACACATACATACATGCACACCGATATTGGGACTCAGCCGTGTAAAGTAATAAAATACGTAATTTGTGTATGGTTCACGCGTGTCGGCCGGTGTTCCGAGGCAAAAAGATGTTTTTCGGACGAAAAATAAACATCGCACGTCGTATGTAACGCCACATGCGTTTCGTACACAAAAGTAGAGGTATAGACACGTTAACATGGTATACAAACAGAGTAATAGCGGCAAAGGCGAACGGTCGTCGGTGGCGCTATTACAATCATTATGGCGGAGCAAGATGTGCGCGGGCTCTGGGGCGTAAACACTCCGGTGTTTTCCAATGTCCCCGGTCGACCGATGTATAACCTCTTTGGCGAATCGATGTATGCGGCAACCATCGGCAGCGGCGTAGGCCGGCCTCGCTACCGGCGCAACCGTTACCCGGCGCGGCGGCGGCAACAGCGAATGGCGCGCACAACACGTTGTTGATATTGTTTTCCACGGTCCGCGTACCGAAATGGCCGACGTAGATATTATTATGGGTGTATTCGTGTCGCGCACCCAGAGCGCGCGCACGCACTTACGCACACACACGCACACATACTTGAGTCCCGTTTGGCGTTACGGTGGGACGTAAAATCAATGACTCCGTTGGCCGCGGCCGAGAGGTCCATGGAAATACGACGTATCGAACACGGGGAATAAAGGGTTGTGGACGAGGTGACGCAAAGAAATATTGCCACTTAGTTGGAAACCAACGGGCTATATGCATCTTACGTACCCAGTAGATCTGTGTTGGAAACCAACGGAGAGTTAGCCAATGAGCTATATTTTCGGGGCGCAACGTCCGTAATCAGTTGAATTTTGAACTCCGATTTTTATCCCCTCCCATATACTTCCATGTCCGTAAAATTCCCGCGCAACGATTGTACGGGACTATCGTATTTGTCCCTGTACCAGCGCCACGGGAAGCGATAACGATCATAATGAATCGACAAGCAGATCGTTCTGATCTGTCGTGTATATTGTAAACCAGTCTTGTTAAACTCAAAGTATCAAATGGGCCAAATATATTATATTGTTGAATATGCGGGTCAAACATATAAATTTAACCAAAAAAATTTTCATATTATATTTTATAATATACACATAAAACCATCGATAAAACTTATTCAATTACAGTTTATCAGAATATTAACCATAACTTAAATCAAATACAACATCCTCTAAGAGTCTAAGAGAGTTGCGACAATATTAATATTTTATAATTTTTTCTATTTTTTATTTTGTCGATTGTTATGGTAGCCGCGGGCCACAAAAAATTAGCCGTGGGCCACATGCGGCCCGTGGGCTGCGTGTTTGACATGCCGGCTATAAACAAATTGTCGACGGTCGTGCAATGAGAGAAAAGTGAAAAATACCGCACACCGACGAAGCACGTCACGATAATGTTGTATAGGTATTTGGTAATTAGAGCTCGGACAATGATGGTTTCTTCTCGTGATACGACTTATGATGCTGTACGGAACTACGGGTGTAACCTAATATAATTAGTAACGAAAAAACATTTAAGCCTTACGCCATGTTACGAGATGTAAAATTATAATTTGTAATATTTCTAACAGGAATTTATAATGCCACTTTTTGATGAAAAATACAACGAACACAGTTGTCAAAATGAAATTAATATTATGTATAAGTTCTTGTATTTTTGTAGCGTTTACCGGAGTGTTACGTTTACAAAAACGGTTCAATGTTTTGAATTCGTACAAAAACACCACCTTACACAGTGTGCGTGTGTGCGTGGGTTTTTTTTATGTTCAATATTAACGCTAAAAGCGTCCGCGTGGTCGTGCTGTCGATTGCTTTAATCTCAGCGCCATTGCCGTAGGCCGCCGTTTTTAATCTCAAACCCCTCTTGGTTTTTCACAATTTTTCTCCGTAGATTGTTTAAAACAAAAAAGAAAAATTTATTCGGCCAAAAAAAATACACAAAAAATTTAGCAATAAATAATGGGGTTTTAAATAACTAAAAACAATTGAAAACAGACATCAGAAAACCGGCTATGGCCCGGCCCCACCAGCACGCGCCATCTTCACAAACAAAGAACACCGCTGGCTCGAGCCGTATTCGTTGTCCGTTTGTCTGATCGTTCGTGTGCTCTGTTTGCTTCCTGAGGTGATCCGCGTGCATTTACTCCGCTTTTATTTGTTTTCGCATTTTATTTTTGTCCGCAAATTGTGTACTAGGATTTATCGTCCACGTTTTGTAGTACGCAGACCGGTGTGTTACTCTCGATACCATTAACGAATCGACATTCGATTAAAGTTATAATTTATTATTTTAATTACAATAAAACCAAATTCCATAATGAGTACGAAAGAAGCCAAGAATGATGTTGCAGTAGAAAAGATCGCCGACAACGATGTCGCAGATGCCAAGGCCGACATTAAAGGAACCAAAAGAACGGCAGACGTGAGTAGCCAGCAGTGTGCTTTTTATTTAATTTATTTTTTCTAATTAATTTGTTGGTAATTAGATTTTTTTTTTATAATCAAATATAATATAATTATGAGATGACTGTTGTTCTTCGTTCAGTTTCTTCTTGTTTATCTATTTTACTTGCTTTTATTATATAAGGATCGCGCATGAGTCCGTTACGCGCGCGTCCCGTGGTTTTCGAAATAACGTGGCCGCCGTTGGTTTTGTCACCGGCACCCGTACCGCGTTACCGGTTACTGTCAGTCTATCGCCACAGCCGTATTTCCGTGTACCCATGCCCGCCATTTTTAACCCCCGACGTATTGCGGATGCATTGGTATTATGATGCATCGTGTTACCGATGGATACGATATACACGTTGCCGGCCGGCACGCGTGCGGTTTTTTCCGTGTCCTTCCCATGCCGTGCGACGATAATACACTTCAACACTTAAACATTGCTATGGCGGTAGTTGTCACTAGAAACAGATTTATATTTTTTCCACAATTATTTACCCCCAATATGAAGTCTTTCATTCATCATCCACTTATGTATTTATCTAGAATCATCATCGTCTCCCGATAATTCAACGACGCCCGCCGTTTGTTTCCGGCACATCGACAACGGTTGTTTACCCGGTCTCTTTCTAACCCCCTCCCTCCTCGCACATCACTGGCAGCGCTGCACTCCCGCCATTGACGCCGCCGCCGCCACCACCACCATCACCACCACCACCACCACCACCAACACCAACACCACCACCGCTTCGTTCACTACTTGTTTCTCTTTACGGGTCGTGTGTAGTTAATATACGCAATCTAACACTTACAAAATTTACCACAAAACACCGTTTAATTAAACCGTGTCTGTACCATGTCCGTCTTATTGTTGTTTTAGTCATAATTATTTTTATGTTATTAATTATTAATAGCGGCTTGTTACTGAATTTGTCGTTGGCGCGGTAGGCATTTTTGATTCTTGTGTGCACGTGCTATATACCACTTAGGCGCACCGCCGTCACTTTTTCGTAGCGAATTGTCGACATTGGCGTCCAATCTCGATGTAGATGGTCGGCGGCGGGGGATATGACATTCATTCTTCTTAAGACAGCGCATTACGTGAAAGAGGGTAACATAGACCACCGTGGGTTCAAACCCGTTTTTCTTCCTTTTTCAGGGAAGGGATTTTAGAAGGAATGACTTATATTTAGGTATATTTATACAAAATATTTGTATATATATGAATCGAATATAAGAGCTCACAAGTGTTGGACTACATCAAAACCAGGGCAGAAATAACAATTATGTTTGTGAGCTGTTGTTTATGCATCTACATCTTTTGTATATTATATTTATTTCCAAACAGGCATTTTGAAAGACTCAGTTGATAGTTCGGCCTGTTGAGAATAATATCCCATGTCTCGTTTTAAGTGTTCCCAACGTAAATGATGAATATTTATCATAAGATGTACCAATTCATGTATTTAATTTTTTTTTTTTTTTGTCATTTCAAATAAAATTCATACACGTCATATATGTTAGTATTTTCATATATTAAAAACATTTATTCGCTAAAAATTATTAGTACCATGTTTAATACCTTGTTTTCTGTGAAATAATTTTATTGTTCACTTCTGATTCTTATTTATTGGTGATAACTTCTAAATTTTCTGAATATTAAATTCATGTTGAATATAGTAAAAAGATTAATAAAAAATTATAAATTACCAATTTGTTGTATTTCAGGAAAAATCAGAAGAAGTAAAAAAATTGAAAAAAGAAGAAAATGGTGAGGAAGACCTTGACGAAGAAGATGAACCTGAAGGAGAAGAAGATGAGGAAGAAGAATTTGCCGAAGGTGAAGATGATTTAGATGAGGCTGATGGTATGTTTATATTTATATAGTATTTATATAGATAATATAAGTTTTAATTTTTAGGATGTTCGGAAGATGATGATGATGAAGCTGATGTTGTAGAAGAAGAAGATGATTGATGTGTAAACTGACATAATGTACAATTGAACAAGTCTCTTAATTTTATATAATTTATACATAGTGCCGCATGTACTCGGTAACTCCGTTTGATAGAATTTGGTTTCAAAAGTCATTTTTTTTTTTTTTTTTTTTTTTTTTATATATACATAATATGTAAATCAAAGCTTTTTTGCTACTGAGTGACTAAGACAAAATTGAATTTTTTTAAAAATAATTTAAATTATTATATTCCTAATAATTTTGTCTTATGTACATGTTCTAAGTCTCTAGTCACTCACTATCAGTCAAGTTTTGAGCATGTACTTGTGAAAAAATAGTTTCTAAACTTTAGATAACACTTGACTGGAATACTTTAAACTAACTCGACCACCGATTTTTTACATATTCATTTTTTTTTTTTTTTTAACAGATTATGACGCAATAATTTTTCTTTTTTCAAGTAAATTTAATACTACTTAAGTATAAGTAAATAATTTAAATATTTACAAAATAAAATTTGAAATACTAAATTGTAATTTAGTTCATAGGTTTGTCTTCTAAAAATATATATACACATAATATATATACATAAACATATATATTATCGTTTAAAATTTAAGCTACTTTTGTATAAAATTTTGATTAAATGATAAGATAATCAAATAAGTATCTTGTGTTGGTTTTATTTATTTTGTATTCTCGGCATGTTTCAAAGTTTAGGACATTTTTTGTTTCTCATTCCAACTAAAAAACAATGTAAGAACTTTTTAGCTACTGAAAATATGTTTTAAGTTTATATTTAATATTAAATAAAATTAATTGTAATTTCAATTTATTTTTTCCCAATTAAGTAAAATACTATAAGTATATATATTTATACATATTTCTTATTCATTTTTTTTTTTGTTAGACAGTATTGTAGTTGACAATTTTTGTTGTAAATAATTCTAGTACAAAAAGATGTTTGGATTGTTAATACACTTAATACATATTGTCAGTTGCTACAGCTCAGCATTTGGTTTTTATTTACACTTATTCTATTAAACTTTACTTGGTTTAAATGTTTTTATTATCTATAGTAATTTGACATTAATAATATTTTGAGTTTGCCCTTTTTTATTTTGATCACATTTACAGTGAGAATTGAAAATTATTTGTTCACTAATACTGTATTAATAAATCATTTAATTGTTATCAAAAAGTTGTGATTTCATGGCACATACCAAATGAATCGATAAAATATTGTCAACAATAATAATCATTTGAAAATAAATTTAATATATTTATTTTGGTTATGTACCTGATTCTTTAAATAAGAATTTTAAATTAATAACCACCTAATAAATATTCATGGAAGAATTACACTATTAATTTTTCAATTTATTTTGAGGTCAACACATTTTTACTTTGCTACATATAAAATAAATGTTTATATACATAAAATTTGATTTGCCAAACAAATTGTTGTCTTATTAATTTAAATTTTAAATTTAAGTTAGTTGAAGTGTCTTAATTTGCTGATGTTACAGTATCTGTTATTTTCAAGGTATTTTATTTTTTCATCGCGTATTTTACACTGTTCTAATAATATCCTGTTTTCTTGTTTAACTTTTTTCATTATGTCAATTGAACATTCCCTATAAATCTGTATCAATGAAAAGTTAATGTTAAATTTTGAGTAATTGTGTTTTTAAACTTACTTGATATCTTGTGTCCTTAGTTTTTGGTTTAAGTATACCACGTTGCATTATGGATATATGTTCTTTCATGTCATTGATTTCAAGAGACTGCAATTATTTTATATAAATCAATAATAATCATATTAAATTATTATTATATAATCAATTTTATTATTCAAATTACAAATCTAATATAAATTTAATTAAAATCTAGGGCTTTCTTTATTGATTCTTTTTCGTAAATAGTAAATGATAAACAACCTATAGGTAGTACAATTTAATGAAGCCCAAAAAAAATTATTATTGATCATTAGAAAGAAAATGTGAATGATAAAAGAAACTTATTTGGGGCTGATAAAAAATTTGTAACAGGCTTAAACCATGTGTAGTCCTCTCTAAGTAAATTTTGGTTTGGAGACATTTGTTATACTGTTATGGTTTTATTTGTGTTTATAAAAGTTATGAATCATTAAACATCAGTGTATCCATTTCCATTATGCAAAATTTAAATTTTCATGTGGATTATATATATTTTTTAAATATTTTAATCCATTTGTAAATTACTTAATTGATTTAACCAGTAAAATGTATAACTGATTATAAAAAATATATAAATGTTAAATGTTTTTTTAAAATTATTTTACAAAAAATTTTTTTAGTACAATCACATTCTCTTTCTTTTTATTTAAACATATGCTGTCTATTGAACATTACTTATTTATCAAACAAATATAAGTAGAGCTCGGATGTTAATGACCAAAATTTCATCAAAATATGCAATTATATGCCAATAAAATGTATTAAATACATCTATTTTTTCAGTAAATATATGCAAAAAAAAAATGGTTCTGCAGTATGCACTCAGTTACAGATACTAGGCTACAATTATAATTAGATTTTAGACAATATATTCTTGTAATAAGTAGGATGATATAACAGTGGTTTTAATGAAGAACAAACATTTGTATGAATAAGTAATATATTATATAATTATTACAAATTATTATATACAATTAACGCGTTAGTCGTTGTAGTCTCGTTATTTGTTTCGAATAATAATATAATCAACGAGTTCGTCATCGTTTCGTTAAAAAATAAATGATTAAAAATTAAATAAATATTAAAATACTTGTGCCATGTCCCTCAAAAATGCGTTAGATGTGTCACTTTTATTCAAACCTCTCCACCATGATTCAATTAGATACCTGTAATAGTTAGATGCAGGAAGAAAGAGTACTAAACTTTATTACCACGATAATAAAGATATAAATTACATAGTAGAGCGCATACAACAAGATAGCCAAAAAAATAGTTAATATTAATTCAAAAAATGTATAAACTCTTTGGAATATGTATTTTAAATTATTTAATTAAAAAAAACACACCTAATAAGTACGGAAAAAATTATTAATTAGTTTTCGATCTAAGTTAAATTTTAAAAAAGTTTTAAAGTTAAAATTTAAAGTTAAATTTTTAAAATTTTTAAAGTTAAATTTTACATAGGTTAAGCATTTTAAGTATCAAGATTACACTGTACAACAATAATTTTGCTGATGTTTCAAACTAACTTTCGACGATCCAACAAGAAATTTTTGTAGACTAAAAATAATATAATTAACGGTTATGATCAATAATTTATAATAATATGGACAGTTTTTAATATTATACTTATTAATTTATAAAATATATGCTACTTAACCTAGAAACAATCGATATATGCATTTAAATGTTCAATCATGTCAAGTATGCAATATAAGTTTGTATATTTGCAATCGAGATTTCATGAAACGATTTTACATCATACTAGAGTATAATTCTGGTCGAAAAAAATATGCCAAGTCATAAACATCGGAGCTCTAATTATAAATGTATTAACATTTAAATAGTTGCTTAGCAATGAAATAATCTTAATAATTCATAATGTTCAAATTAGATTAATTATTATAAATTCATTTTTTATTTAATAAAAATTACCAATTAGTAGGACTTGGAATGGGCTATAATTATTATTTATTAATATTAATACCTATTTTATTAATTGGTATGCTTATTTTTTTCCTTGACTTACGATGAATATTATGTATTACATTCAAATTTGTATTTTTTGTATTTCAAGAAGCTTGAAAGAGCTCATTTAATTACGTACTTGAATGGTTGAGATACGAGTTAAATTGTTTATCTGGTTTGTAGCATTAAACAGTTGTAAACTAGCTAATTTTTCAGCCGTAATTAAAAAGGAATTTTTTTTATCTAATTTTTTTTTTAAATCTTGTATTTCAAGTCTCAGTTTGATTTCTGTATCTGAAATAAAAACTTAAGCATAAAAATACAAACAAAAATTATAACATTATATTAAACATACCAACTAAACTTGTTATTCTTAAATTATAATCTTTTTTCAAATTATCAACTTCCACCTGATGTTCCAATAAAGTATCATGTTTTTTTCCCATTTCATTTTTCATTATATCATATTTTTTTTTTATATTTTCGTGTTTGGCTATCCAACCGCTCCTAGCTAAACACTGTTGTTGGATAGCATTTTGCATATTGTGTAACACACTTTCATATCTAGTTATTTTTTTCTTACATGTGAACATATCTTCCAACATAATGTTCATTTGTTGTTCTAATGTACTCAAAACGTGTAAGAAATCATTAAACTGCATTAATGATTGATGTTTTCTTAGTTCTTTCTTTTCTTGGTAGGTTTTATTTTTCTCATTTCTCTTGCTCAACACGTATTCTAAGGTCATAACGTTGTCTCTTAAGTTTTGTATTTCTTCCTCAGCAGAATTGTTGATTTGTTTTAACATAGAGCATTCATTTTGCATTGCTTCAATTTCGACGTTCTTTTCTTGAATTCTATCCGTAAAATCTTCTACCATTTGTTGTACGTAACTTTCGTTTTTTTTATGTATGGCCTTTTCATTGTTATACATCACTATGGTTTGGTTTAATTTATTCGTCTGTTCATTTAAATTCAAGTTCAGAGTTTTTATTATGTTATCACTGTCTACACAATTTATTTCCTTTTCTGCTAACTGTTCTTTGTAATGGTTAACTAATGATTTTAATTGCACGTTTTTTTTGTTAACCTTATCATAGGCGGATAGTAACTGGGAATATTCTTTTTTTAGATCATTATACTCATTCTCTTTGTTTATAAACAAAGTCCGGTCAAATTTGTGGTTTTCAATTTCGATAGTTAATCGTCCATTTTCGCTCTCTAAACGTTCCTGCCATTCTTTATAGTTATCGATTTCTTTGAATAATTGATTATGATCTTCAACATATTGAGATAAATTATTGTTAATTGTTTCAAAGTGTTCTGCTTTGTCGCGTATAATGTTAAGGATCATATTTATTAGATCTGGCATCCGATAATTTTCGACTTCATAAACTATATCACTTGATCCTTTGAGTTGATTAATTTCTTCGGCAATTAATAACTTGCATTCGTTTAGTTCGTTTCTGTTTTTTGAATCATTAAGTATGTTATCGAAGTATTCACCCTCTAAGTTTTCTGAAAACTCCGTTATGCGCTCCCCAAATAATTCCTTAATACCATTTTGATCTTTTTTTATTTTAAGCAAATTAATATCATCCATTAAACGTATTATTTTGAGATCTTTGATTTCAAGTTCTTGTTTTAATGAGTCTAAGCTGTTTAAAATTTCGTCATAATGATTTATAACTAATATGCGTTGTTTGTTCATGGCGTATTTCAACTCGTTGTTTTCTTTTAATGTATACCAGTATTCTTTTTCACGTGCAGCGTAAATATTGGCTAAATGCATAACATCTTCCTTTTCTTTAAATTTACGATCTAATGCTAAAGAAAGATTAATTATTAATTTTTCAAATTCAAATTTAACCCTATTAAATTCTTCTACAACCCAATTATAATTTTTTACATTTTGTTTTTAAAATTGTATTCCTCATGTTTAATATTTTGTTATTTTTTTCAGGTTCAGCGATAACTATACAAGTTAATCCTATAATTTTTTCTAAATGAATGGCATCTCTTTCGTTCATAACGTACTCACTGTATTTTATTTTAACCATCAAATTTTCTTTAAATTTGGTAATAATGTCCAGGTAAGAAATATTTAATTTAAACACAAAAATTGTTTTAATTTTAAAGTTATCAAACGAATTAAAATTGTGATTAATTTATTTACCTGCAGTATTATAGTCCATGGCCACAATATTATCTCTTGTATCTGATGACATAATTTCACTAGATTTGCTATTATACTGTAATACCTATAATTATAATAATACAATTGGAAAATTTCAAATAATTGTATTGTATTATAATAGCCATATTATGAAATATGGATGTTAAATAATTGGATTTAAATTTTAATACTTTATAATAATATATTAAATCAATATATTAATCAAATGTGGAATTACTTGTGGCGTTTCAATCTATATACAAGTAGGGAAAATTTTCTTTCTCATAATATATTGGTAGTAGGGGTAGTTGCTACAGTCACGTAAATAGGTGTTTTATTTTGATTTCTTTTTTGGGGGATTAACTTTTTAGATAATGGTGGTATACACTATATATTTTAACTTGTGGTTGTTTTGGAAGGAAGGGGATGGGCGATTGCTCCAACCGCCGCCCCTTAAATACTTAATAATCAGTGACGCCGAACTACAAAAAATGTAGTATGGCGAATATCAAATTTTAAAAGTACTTATCCACCTACCAATTGGTGTAAACGGTGGAGGGGGCTGAAACCCTACCATAATATTATATTCAAAATTGATATTAATACATAATAAACATTATATATAATTTCATATTGTGACATCAATAATTTATGATATAGCCGATAAATTAAAGAACTTTTAGAATATTATTTTGATTTTATTGAAGGTTTCGAAGATTTAGGACGTTATGGATGAACTAATAAAAGTGCAAATATCGTTTTAGTTTTTATGGCTCGTGGTATATATTCTTCATGGAAATTTCCGATTGCTTACTTCCTTGTGCATTCTGGAGTGAATAAAAACATTTAAAAAAAATTAATAATTGATGTTCTTCAGAAATTATTTGAAGTCAGTTTACATTCAAAAATTATAGTTTGCGATCAAGGCAGAAATAATCAGAGTACCTACATTAAAATCTTTAAATATCTCTGAAAACAGTCCATTTTTTTTGTAAACAATATCAAATTTTTTTTCTTTATTTGACGTACCTCACCTTCTTAAAAGTTTTCGAAACAATTTAATTGGCGCCTTTTATATAAAAGATAATAAAATTATTTTATTTAATGATATTAAAAAAACTTACGAGTTAGATAAATTGAACAATAAAAGTAAATCTTTCATCATAATAACAAATTCACACATTTACCTTAATTCTTTCCAAAAAATTTGTGTTAAATTAGCCGTTCAATTATTAAGTAAATCGATGGCAGCTACTATCGGAACTTGCAAAGAAACGGAACAACTTCAGAGTGTTATTTCCTTAAATATCACTGACATTATAAAATTTATTAATAATTTATTCGATTGCCTTAATAGTAGATTGTTATATAGCAATAATCCATACAACTGTGCCTTGACTTATTCCGGGACTGCAAAACAATTTTTAATAGAAGTTTCTACGTATTTTGTAAATTTACAAAAAATAAAATTAGGAAAATTATTACAACCTCCGTATATTAAATTTTTTACTCAAACTATTAATGGGATACTGTAATTTTTTTAATTAAAAAAATCAAACTTTTTTGTATTTTTAATGACAAATCGTTTAAATTAAGACGTTTTGGAAAATTTTTTCAGTATATTTAGATAGAATGGTGGTTATATAAAAAATCCTATTGCTAGAACTATTAGGACTAATATTTCTTATTATAAGAAGTTCATGTACTTTTCTTTGTTTTCGTCTAATAACACCAATTATGAGATAGTCCAAGAAGTCCATGAGACGGTAATTATTGACGAAGAAAAACCATAAAATAAAATAATTTCTGAAAATTTAGATACTTCTGATTCTGATACAGAATATAATTCCGAACTATTGATTTCTTCTTCTTCATCAGTTAATGAAAATCTTATTGAAAATAAAGCAGACAACATAGTTACTTTAGAAGATTGTTCAGTTACATATTTTGCAGGGTGCTTAGAATATAAATGTTTAAAACAATGTATTTGCAACCGTTGTAATGAATTGTTCATAGATAAAAATTTAAATGAAAAAAATCAATTGCTCTTATTAAATAAAAATTATACGTCGATTGATTGTGATAAAGGACTTAAAATGCCGATATTTTTAACGAAGAGTTAATATAATATAATCAATGCCGTATTAAATATTTTTGAAAATAATTTAAAAAAAACTTTTACACCGAAAATCAATAAAATGTCAACTAATTGAACGTTTAAAAACAAATAATATAATTTTAAAGTAGCTAAACGAATCATAAGAATGCAAAGAACATAAAATGTACATTATTAAATAACTTTTGATATGTAAAATATTTAATAAAACAAAAACATTTTCAACTACTACAAAAATTGGCAAAAATAGCTAAATTAAAAATATTAAATCATATTTATAAATTAATTGTCAGATTTTCCTTTTTTATTATTTAAGTTATCTATTCTGGTTTTCATATTTTCTTATAATATATTTATTACATTCTGCTATTAAATTTCAGATTTGGAAACAACAGCAGTTGTACTACTGTGTAGTGTATACTGTACACTAATAATGGAATACCGGCATTGCAAACGGTCGGTTTTTACGGGGTTCAAAATAGGCAATTATTTTAGTGCGTGCGTGCATACCTACATATGGGTGCGTAGTAAATTATTAATAGTGTTAGTGCGGTTGTATTATCTTCCTCTCTGTCAGAGACTCTGGTCTCATCGTTATCCAATATTTATCTGTATTCTGTAATTGTGTTGGCCCACATGATTTCGTTATACATAAAATTTAATATAATTTTATTTTTAGTATTTGTTGTAATAATTAGAGGTCGGATTTATATGACTACATATTTTGTATGAAAAGCATATTTTGGGGCTAGAGAATCTTTAATAAAGAGTATAAATATTGATGATTGAAGATGGTTTACAAATATGAAATAATAATAAAATATGTATTCGCGTAATCAGTGTATGTACGGTTAATTGAGATTCTAATTTGTTTTTTTGTTTTATTCGGAAATCTATTTTGATTGAACGCCGATAATACGGTTGTCGGTTATCTCTTCGATAAGTCCGTTATTGTAATCGCAGCGGGGTCCAATGATACCCGAATTAAGATTAGAAAAATGATGTGTTCATTTGTGCAACGCTACCTATCGACATGATTTTAGTATTCGAAAACCCCTATACCGCGGTATAGGTTTCGTATACCGTGGGCTATTATTTAATCAATGCTATTACTATTATCCAGTTCGATGCCCGAAAAGATGAAGGACGAACTTCCACCACCATTATTTAAAAAATAAATTTATATATTTATACAATAAAAACTCTGTTTTTCTATACATAATGAGTATTGAGTACTTAAATGTAAATTAACATGAACACATTTGTGGATACTAATTTCGAAAATGTGGGTGCTAAGCACCTCTCCAAATTTCACCTATGTATATATATAATTAGTAATAAAGTATGATATTCATCAACATTTTACATTTTTTCAAAACTGCCTGAAATGTTTTCCTGCGTTTTCCCCTGTCTACGGTATACCTTGAGACAAAATAATTGAGTCTCAAGTTCCAAATTAGGTATAGGTTAGGTATGTGCGCCTATTATGATAGTATGTTTGCACAGCTGTTATGCGCACTGCGTAGGTATAATTTGAAATTCACTTACCTATTCTATATTAAAGTACAGGTGTGAGAAATATTTAATATCTAAGTATCTTATGATTTTTAACACAAACCATAAAAAAAAAGAGTCGTGTACAATACATAAAGCGATTTTTTTGAGTCATACACTAATGTTTTAAGCTGTTCTTGCTGTTACAGTAGAAATGACTGGACGTCGTAATAAGATTTATTTTCAACGTTAACATAGGTTATACGAACGAAGGAAAATCCAAATTATAGATTAAACGGTGGATTATTTGGTTAAATGTACATTACTTCATCCATGAAAAAATGAAAATGTTTTGGAAAAAATTATATTCATGTACTTAGCAGTAGTAACTATAGTTACCATAGTATACCATATTATGGTATCCACTATACAGTGAAACCTACATTAACGGGCGTTTTTTGGAAACTAAGACATTTTTACTACTTTTCAATGGGGAAACCTCCGAATAGCGGACATTATTTTAATACATATATATGAAAATAATACGTATTCACATTTCGTAATAATGTAATAACGATAACAAACTTGTTATGAGAAGATACTACACGGAAAAAAAAATTACTATAAAATTATAGCTATTAAAATTATATTATATACAATTATATACAATATGCAATATGAATGATTATGAGTGATATGACTAGGCTTAGGGACTTCTAGCATTTGCATACTTTTGTTAATTATTGTTAAAAATAGCAGAGTGGGAAATGAATTCATTTCTCGGTGCCATAATATCAGATCTAGAATTATAGTGTGCATATTTTTACATATTTGATAGATTTTTCAGGAATGTGCTTATTTTAAAATTATTATACTTATTTTGCATATTTTGACAATTTTTTCAATTTTAAAATTAAAAATTATAGATACATATATGGTATAACATTCTAAGTTATAACTATATGTAGATATTTGAACTGATTAAAAAAATAAATATATCGATGGCGTAGTGCAAAAATGTGATAAATGACATTTTCATAATTGTTCAGGAGAACGATTTTTAAGTTTGAGTTGATATAACAATTCAAAAATTTAACGAATACTAATGTACTTTTTATTATATTTTCCTTAACATGTAATGAGGATTAAAAATTATTTTGATACAGGCTCGGATTAACACTATCGTAGGCCCTAGGCTCCTAGTCCTTGCAGGGCCGTTGTCCAGTATTTAAATAGTAAAGAAACCTTCTCTTTGAGAGAGGAAGTATTGAATCTCATGCAGTGTTAAGCTTTTAAAAACAATTATATTTACAACATAAAAATCAGATCTAAATTTTTATATGATAACTATAAATTTTTATACGATAAAAGTTTTAACAAATGTTTTAAAAATTCATTTTAATCCAAAACATACATAATATAAATTGTTAAAAATCATAAAAAAATTTTTTTTTATATCAATTTGCGTACTACAAAAAAATCGTAGCCACACATTTTCGTAGGCCCTAGGCACAGTGCCTATATGCCTATGCGTTAATACGGCCCTGGTTCTACTATAGACAAATATCAAGAAAAAAAATTAGCTCATTTGTATTCTAAAAAAAAATTTAAAAAAAAAAAGATATTTTACTCAACACATTTTGTAGACGTAAATATTATTGCTTAAACACATTACATTTTTCTTCTGATTTCAATAAAGTACAAAAATTACTTGAATAATGTTATAATTATTATTTTAGCTGCTTTAATATATTCTATAATAAATTAAATTCAGCCTTTTAAAAAGTATATAAGATTTATAAAAATAAATTCAACTTATTTTATGACAACTTATCAAATATAACAATATTTAATAATACAAATGAAGATAATAGGATCTTCAATCATCAGTATCCTCATAATCTGAGGATATTTATGGTTGGCATTTTTTGGTGGTTGGCAAGTCATTATAAAGTTGATAATAATCATTTGGAATTATTTTATAGTTCATTAAATACTTTTTAATGTCTTTTTTCTTTGCTTCGCTGATAGGTATTTATTTTTGAGTACTTGATATCTAAATTAAACGAAGTTCGTTTTTGTTTCCTACCTACACAACTTTTCATAGATGTGTCTATTTTTTATGAATACCGTTTCTTTTTGATCATATTTTTATTGCATAATATAAGGTTAATTTTTTTGGAATCTCATTCACTTTATTTTCAACCAATTTACTTTCTCTTTTTCTGTGTTTAAAATTTTATTTTGTATCATAGAACCCACTAATTTTTCAAGGTTATAAAATTCATTATAATGCATAGTTGTAACTTTGTATGGACTAGGTTGTATCCTAACAGATGAAAATAATTATGCCCATTCTCTGGTGGTAAATACTTTTTTATGTTTCCTATGTCGCTCTATAGTAGCATGTATAGAGTTAGAGGCGGCTTGGACGTAATTACAAGAGATGCACTGCACTCCCGAAAATATAGGGTGGGTGTTAGTAGTAAACAGCGATGGATTGACTTACCGAGATACTGGAAAAGTTTCCGGTGTGCCGGTAGTCGTATTATAACACTGGACCGATGAACTTGGATTAAAAATTATTTTATGAAAAAAATTTATTTAAATATATTGTATTTAATTGTAAGATTGTGATAAAATGTAGTGTGAACGTGATGTAAATAGTTCTACGAGCATTTTATCCATGAATAAAGGAGACTTTATAGAAATTTATTATTATTGGATGATGGGACGGTCATACGGTTATCTCCGGGGTCGACATTTTTAGCCAATCCGCCGCTGGTAGTAAACTACTACCATGTATATGAACTATGATGATATTAATATATTATATTTATAGAATCAGAATACTATAGTCCATTGTTATAGCTAATTATATTAGTAACAGTAACAGTTTGATTGCTAGATAATATATTTTGTAGATATTATTATATAATTTTTATTTCAAAAAGTGCAATTTTTATTTTATATTCATTGTTCATTTTGGAACTATACAGACTTATTTTATTAAAATGTAAGTAATTTATGGTACGAGACACAAAAAACTGATGAACATACATACATATATAGTATAAATAGTCTTTAAATAGGATATTATTTATTGATATAGGAATAATTATACAAATTGTTTTATGTGAAAAATAATTAAGAATAAATTTATTTGCCTTAATTCATTGTTATTTTGTTTCATTTTCATTTTCCTCATAAATTTTTAGTCGTGTACTTACCTATATTGTGTTATTTATGTGAGCCCCAATTTCAACTTGTATTTTGGGGCAAATGAAAAATCACACATAATAACCATTCGAAAATATAGGATTCACGACAATTGAGCGCAGAAAATTGAGCGCAGAAAATTGAGCGCACGACAATTGGGCGAAGACTATTGAGCGCACGAAACTTGAGCGCTGCGAAAATTAAGCTCTAAGACAATTGAGCGCGATATATTTTTCACTTTCTTTAATAATTTGACTATTCATCAAATTAATACGACCACGACATTTTTTCGTATTGCATTTGATACATCGCCAACTATTGTTTTTGTCAAATCTATATAAATATCCGTTATAGCACAGAAGGTCTCGACCTTTTTGACTTTTAATAATTTCCATTTTATTATCAAAATTATAATTTAAAAAAATTAAAATGTTTTATACAATTAAATGAATAGTGTTCAGTATGCACGTGTGAAAATATAACATCAATAAATACCTTGCAAAGTTCACATGTGTAGTTATCCAGCGATAAGAGTCTACATTTACTGCTGCATTACCGTCGTTGGAATTTTATTCTTTCAATAACACCGTATCGATAACATTATCTGATTATCATCAAACATAAGGATTTATCTGACGGGTTATATAGGTATTCGCAGATACTGCGAACAAATTCATTTCTAATTTCGTAATTTCATGTACAGCAGTTCTGCACTAAGCTTTTACTCAGTATAGTATAATATTATGTTAAAGCGCTCAACTGTCTCGGTGCTTAATTTTCGCAGCGCCCAATTTTCGCCGCGCTCAATTGTCGGGACACCGAAAATATAATATACTGATTATTTGTTTACTTATCCCCCCAGATTTTTTTCTTTTATAGAGGCCAAAAAATTGCGGGGGGGCGCATGGTTCCTCACCCCCCGTGAGGGTCCTTGGTGGTAGTGGTAGTGTTTAAAATGTAGATGGGTGGTCTGAATTAATATGTGCACTCCTAATACCATTTGTCTTAATCTGCCAGTGTATAGAGTCCTGACATGGCACGCGAAAATTTTTACTATTATATATTATATAATATAAATAATTAACATGAGGTCTGGGTTTTGTGGCCGAGGTTGAGTTTCCCCACACACTTTCTATTAGCGCGTGGCATAGGCGAAACAGGCCCCCGGAATGCCGGGGAGCCTGGGTCGTCTGTCCGGACCATCAGCGGTGGACTGCCGACTTCCATACCATGAAAGCCCCCCAACTAGGGGGACCCCAAGCGTCTGATCTTCGCCCGGCACTATCAAGCATAAATCTTGAGCTCCATCGAGTCCGACCTCAGTTTTGGCTGGGCCAAACTTAGTGTGGCGACAAGACGCGTAGGACACACGCCGGTCTGGGCTAACCACACCTCCCAATGTACTATTCGTGTTAAGAATCTAAATGGTCGGACATGCTTCGATGACGGTGGTCTACCCACCACCTACCTTATTAATACAGGTATCCCTGTGCCGCCGCCGTTACAGCTAGACTTCCCTGGGGACAGCTAGACTGACGTGAGACGCGACAGCACCGCTCGGAAGTCGTAAGAACGAATGCTTCCGATTTACTGGGACGGTCACACTAGTAAATCATCAGCCCCCAACCTCGGGGCAAGCCCCGGGGCGGGTTCGGAGTAAATTTTGATCGCAGAGCAGCCCCGGAGTTCTAGGCACACCACGCATTTACGCACCGGACACGCGTAGATGGAGCCGCCACCCCGTGCCGCTATCGCGAAGATTCGCTGTCTGGGGGAGGGTATTCCGAATATTTCCCTCCTTTCCCCTACCACGGGGGAATATATAAATACCACTATCCGCGACCTGTGAACCCGTACTGTAGCGTGAACTACCGCGCCGAAACCACCACCGGACCCGAGAAGACAAGCCGGCCACCCTAACCGACCCGCCCCTCGTTGGATCCGACACTGGTTTCGTTCAGTAAATAAATAATTAACAAAGCAATATTTTTATAATTATTATTATTATTATTCTGTACCTAAACTAACCTTTTTATACCAATACTTCAATTATACAATCAAATTATAATATAACAAAATATAATTATTTTTTCAGACACGTTCTATAAAAAAAAAAAAAAAACAGGTAATTTTGGGCACGCAGTGTTCAAAAGGTTTGCCATCCCTGGCTTAGACTTTATACGGTCGATTTTTAAAGGGTTTGATATAGTTAATTTACAATACTCTCGAACATATTGACTATCTACTTTGGATCCCAGGATTTTACTTTCCGGAATTATACGTTCCGGACAAATATGGTTTTCAAATTTTTACTTTCCAGCTACTTACGGTCCGGGCAAATAAGTTTTGGAGAAATATGGTCCGGATAAATACGTTCCGGAATTATACGTTTGAGGCGAATACGGTTTTCGAATTTTTGATTCCAGCGATATACGGTTCGGAATATTACGGCCTTCCTATGTACGTTACAAGGGAACAATATATTTTAGAATTTTTAAACTACCGTCATTTTCTAGGAAATTAATTAATCCCATAATACCCTTGAAAATATTATTTAATTTAATTTCTATTTTAGGTATTTTTGTCCTAAAATCACTTTTGAGTGATTTATTTGGAATGGAAGTGAGTATATTTTATCATACTAAAAATCGTTTGTGTATCGTCCTCTTAATAAACTTTTATTACATTAGTTAGCTTATTTATTATAAGTATAATTACAGAAGTTATTCAGAAAACACTATATAATAACATAAACTACTATTCTTTAAACTATTATTTATATAATCTAACAATAGGAACTTATATAACTAAATTAATAAAATATTGTAATACAAATAATAATTTGTTTTTGATTAAAAATGTCAAAGAACAATTATCATTCACGGTCAAATTTTTTTTATTAAATCAAATTAAGCATTATTTTATTTACTTTTTTAAAGAATGAATAACAAATAATGAAACATCAAAATCCTTTACAATATTTAAGCATACTCGTATATTAGTTGACTAGTACGTACTTGGGTAACTTTTACTTGGTAACAAATCACATTATTTAATGACTTTACACAATTTGTGTTTTTTCCTTATGATCAAATATAAAATCATTCATTGTAACATATGTCATTCCTATTTCATTATGAGACTTCGGAATTTCGTATTTTACTTCTTCCTCTGTGTTTTCAATTGCATTTTTATTTTCTGATTCTTTGTCTATGGTAATACATATTTTTTTCATGCAAAATTATTTAATAAATAAATAATATCACACAGTACTATACAAGATTAATTCGCGAATAATCATTTTACCATTCATTAGATAACACATGTTGTTAACTATTTGATTGAACTCCAATTTTAAATAATCATTTCCTTTTTCTAACATTTCTTCTAGTGATGTAGTTAACGATTTGAAACTAGGTCGTCTGTAAGGGTCTTCTGCCCAACAGCTATTCATGATATCATATCTGTAAAAACACTCACTTATTTGAAACGAGTATATTTTTGACGAGTATAAGTTTTATAATTGCTATTTTATTTTGTTTAGCTCAATATAATAAAGATATATATTGTTCAAATTTAAAATTAAATGATCCCGTAAACCAGCAGTCCTCACTAGGATTTTAGAAAGGACCAAGTGTAATTTAGGGCCTAAACCAATATTTTCCTTAATATTAGTATTAGTGTTATATTATACGGTTACGAAGGTAATTCGCATCCTTGTATCATTATTCATTTTATATTTACTTTCTTATATATGTTTAAATTTATTTCAAACTTACAATTCAGTAGAACAATTATTTGGTTTATCCATTCGGTAGCCTTCATTCAATAATTTGAATAAATCTTTTGCATCTATTCCAGGATATGGATCTGTTCCTAAAGTAACTAATTCCCATAGTACAATTCCAAAACTCCAAATATCCGATTTGCTTGTGTATATATTATCTGATAATGATTCGGGTGCCATCCATTTAACTGGAACTACAGTTAACGTTTATTATACAAAAGAATGTATAATTATTTTATATGTAATAAGTATTGTCATAAAAATGAAAAAAATTAAGAAAATGTACAAACCTCTCCCTTTAGTTTTTTTTAAATAAGCGTTATCTTCATAAACGTCTCTGGTCAAACCAAAATCAGATACTTTACACACTTTGTCTTTAGTGACTAATATATTTCTTGCAGCAAGATCTCTATGAACTAACTAAATAAAATATTTTAATGTACAATCGCCTTACATTTAATTTAATATAATTTAAATGTTTTACTTTTAGTTCTGCAAGATAAGTCATTCCCTTAGATATTTGCCAAGAAAATGTTAAAATATCTTTTGAGTTGATTGGATAAATTTGCAAAGTTGAAGATGTCATCCTATCATTTAGCTGAAAATGTTCAGTGTTGGAAACAAATCCATCAATGTTGGTATTTAAAATTCGACTTTTGCGGAGATATGATCTAATAAAAATACATTGTAATAATTTTTATTTTTATTTCAATAATCTTACTTAAGTGAACCATATTTGGCGAATTCTATAATGAGGTAAAATGGTCCGTCTTGAGTGGTGCAAGCTCCGAGTAGTTTTACTACATTAGGATGATTAACATCTTTTAACAGATTATATTCTGATAGTAAATCATCTTTTTCGGTACTGCCAGCATTTTGTTTAATGGTTTTTACTGCGACCGTTGACATGCCTACAGAATTTAATATTATTGTGTAAAATAAGATATTTTAAAATATATACACAATTTTAATATATACACAGAGTCATAAAATAATGTTGGAATGTGACCCATTCTATTGCGCTCTATTAGAGGGACGAGGAAAACTTTAGAATGCAATATTATAGCAGAATGGCGTGTAGATGCAGACGTAGTATTCTTATTAAAAATAATGAATGTGTTCATATAATGCAATTCATAAGCGTAAAATATTGAATATCATATTGAAATAGAAACGTGACTGCTGATCGATAATGTTTTGCAATAATAGGTTTAATTCATATATTAAATTCATCCATAAGTTATTTTTTTATAAATTGATTTCTCATAGTATCCAATGTATAGTTTTACATATAATTGTATTCAGACTATTAACTCTACATGAGCATACCTTTTGTACCAGTAATATCCATAGCTTGAGCTTTTAAAACTTTACCGAATGCTCCTTCGCCAATTACTTTTTCTAGAATAAGCCTGTTTCTTGGAAATTCCCATTTAGGATCAAAGTCCTGTGGGATTATTTACAATAATATGTATACAATAATAATGGTTGTCTTATATTATATTACAGTATTATGGATTAGGTTATCCCTGTTAGGTATTATATTTGGTTGATGTATTATATTTTGATCACGAGATGGTAACAATTCTTCTAGTGTTCTGACGTTTCTGTTTGTTTTATTGCTCCCCAAAATCCAAAAAATTCTGAAACCATTATTTGTTTTAATAAAAGCAAAGAATATTATTAATTTTAGTTAAATTGAAATTTACTTATTTCTGCAACAATACATAACAATTCCAATTGATGCAAACGTGATTACAATTATTATACTCATATTAACATTGTTGTCACACCAATATTCACATGGATCTTGTTCATAATTTACTGAATAAAACACATAATGAATATAATAAGATTAATGTGATATCTATCCATATTTTTGAGAGATATGATTATACTTGGTGTTTGCGGAATAGATTTGTTTTTATTTTTTCGACCAGCGTTCATCTTTGATTCACACGTACACTTTCCGATTTCATCACATGTACATACACCTTTAGCTCTCAAAATTCCGTTTTTCCCTTTTGAGCCAGTTCCGAATACTTTATCTATCTCAGTAATTTATAAATAATAAGTAATATTATATTATATATTTATAAAGCATTTTAATGATATAGTTACTGGTACAGTCTTGTGGACAAATCAAATAGTTAATCTTTTCTAAACTGTCGCAATATCCATCTGGACAAGTTTTTGTATCTGGAGTGCATGTTGAATAATTAACAGTAATCATATCTGGTTTTGATGATTCTCGCCACTGACATTTAGAAATAGACCTTTGAAAGTTGTATTATTTATTTTTATTTATTAAATGTATTAATTATAATTGTTATGCATTATTGTATATAATTATGTTATAGTTATAGTAAAAAAATATTCATAATTTATAATTGATTTGTTTCATTATAATAACAGTATGGGAAAATAATCAATTATTTATTTATTTAGAAATAATAGCGAATGGGCAGAGTGTGTAATATGTAAGTTTTATTTTTAACCATAATTTTGCAATAGTACCTTAGTGATTAATTTGACCAAGAACTTGTTTTCGTACGGTTTTGTAAAATTAGTTTTTTCTTCAATTGAAGATCTTCAATTAAATTATTCAAATATATGTACTTACCCAATTCCACATGATGATGTACACTCGGATTTTATGTCTAAGTGTATATTAGAACAGTGTGACGTTTCCTTACATTGTTCATTAGGTAGATTTTTAAAATTTAAAGTAATTATTGTTATTTGATCATCACCACAAACGATTTTTAGTCTATAAAAAACATGTAATTTGTAGGATATTAATGTTTTCAATAATTAAATAATTTATGATGCAATCAATTTTCAACTTAATCAATTTAAGTAAACAATTAATATCTAATTGTAATTTGTTTAAACTTACGTAGATTGAGATTGATTAAATTTCTTTAAAAATATTGCATTCTTGATGTATACTATGCCATCAACTGTTATACCGAATATTTCAGGATTTTGATTTACTTGAAATCGAAAATTAATTTTTTGTAGCCTTACATCCGGCAAAGGTTCAGCAATTCTAGCATACACTTTTGAATCTCTGTAGACTGTATACGTATCTTTTGGATAAATCTAATTAAAGAGATTTATAAAACTTAATGAAACAAACATCTTAATATAAATATGTTATATCAGATTGTAGATTTTAAATAGTTTTATTACTACAGTCGTACTAATAGTACTAAGTCGTATTGCTGTATTTGGCATATAAACATATGATTCATATAAAAATAGTTTTAATCATAGGCGTAACTTGGAAATTTATTAGGGAGGGCAAAAATATAATTACATATCTAACGAAAAGGGTGTCCGAGAATAAACGCCGTTTTACTACCTACATATTTTTATATAAAATTATTCATTTTCTAACATTATGCTAGATAAGCAAAAATTTAAAATTAAGATTTAAAAAGAAAATAAAAAGAAACAATTATAACCAGCTGTTTTGTACTTATTTTAAAACAAGTTATGTTAAATACCAGAGGGGGCACTGCCCTTACTAATTTATTTTAGGGAGGCAATTGTCCCCCCTTGACCCCCCCCTGTTTAAGCCTATGGTTTTATTGACATTTTTTGAATATATTTGAAGGAATTCTTCAAATATTTTTGTTTTGATTTATTATTACAGTTTTTATAATATTATTTAAACATTTAAAAATGAAACTTAAGCCTAACTTTTCTATGATAGAAAAACTTTTTATGTGACTATGCTTCATCGAATTATAACTTGTAGGTACCACTTTAATTTAAATAACTAATTATTTCTTAGTATTATTAAAAAAGTTAGTACCTATGTATCATACACAATAGTATCATACACAATAGTTCTGTATTATTTTATTTGATGGATTGCTGTCAACTTCTTGAATTAAATTTTTTAATATTTAAAAACTTAAAATTTTGATCAATTTTACTTGCATTATTTTGGTAACAAATAGTTTAAAATAGTCAGTAACATCTAAAATATATATTCATAAGGTTCTTGTATAACAAATACCTTATATTATACTATATTTCATAGATAAAATATTTTTAATTTATTAAGCTTAAAGTTATAAGCATAATAAAAGTACATTTAACAAAAAAAATGACATTCTACCTACGCATAATAATTTCTCGTTAGCAAAATTAAACCTTAACTATTATTTATCAGTTTGATAAAACGTCAGATTTTTGAGAGACTTATTCGTGAGTTTATGACCTTGTCATTTAATATGTTTGCATTATACCCCTTTACAACCAATTTACGAGATATTTAATACTTTTTTTAAAATTAATCATAATGTACCCTTACGAATTTAATGATAAAAGCTTAAAAGAAAAGAATGGACATTATTATTAATTAAAACATACTACACATACAAGTTGTATAGCAATCATATAAAGTTATTTGCTAAAGCGTAAAGTTATATGCAAAATGTTTACAAGGTTATAGTTTTAATTGAAAATGTAATAATCTTATTAGTGTTGTACTGACCTGTGATGATATATAATTGGAGGTAACAGTTCTTTTTAGGCGACTGCCATGAATTATTACACCTAGTCACGTAGAAAACACATAAAAACACATAAAACACATAAAAATATTAATAGTATAATTACTAACGTGGCGAAATAGTTGACATAATTAAAAATAAGAAAAAGGTCAACTCCAAAAGTTATCTAAAGAAAAATTTGGTTTAAAATAGCTGATTTATTTGTATTTATTTCCGTTAAAATGTTCATATACTACATTAAAAATATTACGATTATTTAGCCAATGCAGTTTGTAGTAAAAAAGATATTTTTTTATTATTTTCTTTGCACGAAACTAATACTGAATTCTCATTTTCTTAATGCAATTTAGGTGTTAGGTTGTTAAATTTTATAAAAAAAATTAAACTATGATCATAGAATATACATTCATCAACATATCGAATAAAATAAAACTTTATATAGATTTTCCATTGTATTTTCCATTTTAATAAATCATCTTTGATTGAGATATAATTTACTTCAAATTGTAATAATATTGAATAAAAATACTCTTAACATGTTATAGTCATTTTGAGATTTGTAGTTAATTTTACTTTAATCCTAAAGTCTCCAGGTATGAAAGTTATATTAGATCATAAAAATGTTTTTAAAATTATTAATATGTCCAATAACATCATCATCATAACGTAAGTTCATATCTCATCATACTCATCATATAAAATCAATATAATTTCAACATTAGTCATTGTTGACCTTTTGTCCAATATTTATTTGAAATTATTAGAAACATTATATGAAATATCTATTAAATAAAAAGTAATATCAATATTCTTTATTATATTTCAAATGTGAGAATATTTAACATTATACGAATATTATTATCAGCATTTTGATTACTTGACTTTTTATGCAAAAGGAAAGAAACAAGATTATAAAAAATATTTATTTTTTTTTTAAATTATATATTTCTTTTGTTTCACAATATCCCTGCGTACAAAAAATGGATTAAATACATAAATCATAATGTGGTGCATTAAAAAATGGTTAATATATATATATATATTGGTTAAATATATATTTATATTGTATATATATGTAGGTATCAAATTATATTGTTCGTTTGTCATGTATAAAAGTCAACAAATAATAAAAGATAACATGAGTTTGAATTAGGTTTAAATATATATTTGAACTAGTAGTAAGAATAATCTCTTTTTTAACTATATTATTCAAACGATTATATAGTCCATATTATAAAAACTGTGTAGAAAGTGTAAAAAACATAGGAAAAAGTAATACGAAAGTATATTATTATTATTTATATATGATGACAATGCTCATTACGATAAAATAAGTTCAGTAAAAAAAATTAATTAAATTAATTTGATAAAAATGTATAAAATATATAAAATAATAATTTTGCTCTATAGATTACATATTTTTATAAATTCTAGTAAAAATGAAATAATTAATATAATTTAATAAAGTATAATTAATTTCATATTTCGTCTGTATTGATGTTAAATTATTATAAAATTTGGTTATAGATATTTGTGCATTGTATTTTGTGTAAATTTATATATATGTTATTATACCAATATTAAAACAAATTATACAAACACTTTTAAATAAAAATTTGTTTTTTTTTTTTTTTTTTAATGTAAATCCTTATTAGTTTAAATAAAATAATATTTGATCATATAGATAGTCAATATTATTTATAATATTTATTTTTACTTAAGATGTTCTTAATTCCCACTAAAGTTATTTTTAAGAGTTATAATAAAATAATAAATATTGAACATTAAATAAATTGTTTACTTACCACAGACTAAAATCCAAATAAGCGTGTGCAAATTACAAATAGCACCCATTGCTATTGAAACTAGAATGATCTGCACTATATGTTGTCAACAGGTCTACTACAATACTTCAACTGTGTGTCACACGAGTTACACGCAGTTTTCTCCAAACAGACATGCTCAGTTTTCTTTCGTAACACCACAGTAGTGGTCGTTTATTTTATTTTTATTTGAATGTATACATATGTGGTGTAATAATAATATTAATTATTATCAAAGTATTCAATGTGTATTGTTTTAATATTTTAAATTATTAAAAAAAAATTTCTAGTACTAAATAATTATATTTAGGAGTTTAAATAATGGTATTTTTTATTTGTTCTTATTTCGCGTAAAATAATGAAAATCTTACGCTTTAAGCTTTTAATCATTCAACGGATAATATGCTAGTAGTTTTCAATTGATTGTTTTTGAACCACTTTAAAACTTAAAAATATTTTGTAAATATATAAGAGTCAAATAAAAATGTAAAGTTAGATAAACTATGGAGTTATATTTTTGGACAAATATTATATAAGAAAAAAACATTTTTGATTAATAACAAAAAATATTTAAAAATGTATTTTCTGTGATAAATATAAAATTTTTTTAGTATGTTTAGTATTATTACTTAATTATTAATTTTTTAAATATTAAAAATAATACAATTTTTTTTCTTTAAAGAATATGTAAATGATATATAACTATACAAATTTAAATATAAATAATATTATGATAGTAAAAAGAAGATATGAAATTATTATAAATTCTAAAAACGAGAAAGACTTGGAATTATATCCGGGCTAATAAATAAATAATAAATGTAATAAAACTCATTGTAATACAAATAATGAATTTTTTGTTTTAGGTACTTTTAATTTAATTACATTTTTCAAAATCCAGAGAATAGAATGGTTTACATTATAATTTGCAAAATTTACATATTCATATCACGTTTTTGTAAATTTGAAAACAAATTGTGTTATTCTGAATATTATATTATCAAAAAATATTAATTTATAAAAGTTAAGAATAGGTATAAACTCAACTAGTAAATCGTGTGCTTGATCAATTTAAATCTAATTTTGATGACATGTATCATTATGCATATATTTAAATTAGGAAAATATGAATTATTAATCATTGATTGTTCCAAATGTTTTTTTTATAAAGGCCATTTCAATGTTCCATAGTTACTTACTAGAACATTAATACGACATAATTTTTTCATTAATATTAATGGTAACAAATTATTAGCACAAATTATATAAAGTGTCATTTTTACCAAAATTTACATCAGACTAATTTTGTGTTAGTCACATTTAAATAATCTAAATAAATCACTGTTATGCAAAGTATCTATACAATTTGACGATTCTACTATAATTACAATGTAGGAATATTACAAAAAAATAGATTCATAAAATAATCATTGATTAGTTGTTATAGTATAATAATTGTATACTTATTGCTTAATTTATTATGACATGATAATATTTTCTACATTTGTCTGAGATATAGTATCAAGGATATTTTAAGCCTTAAAACTATACCAAAATAATATAAATGCAGTTTTTTTTATATGTTTATTTTTACATGATGTATTATTTTGGGCAATTCTTGAAATGTATTGATACTAACTTTTCAACTATAACTATTATTGTTTTTCGAATCATTAAATTTGGGTTAGATGTTTCTTTAATTTAATTGAAAAACTTAATTTTTAGCTTTTTCTTCATGGAAAAACATCTTTTATTATAAAAGCGTCTTATTAAAAATTATAAAATACCATTATGTTAATTTATATATGTATATTAATCACGTTTTAATCCTCAGATGCATATGTAATCGATATACTGGTATTTCCATTTGTCCATCTACATGTATGCGATTGAGGCGGCTGGTGATAATCTTTCGGTATTGATAATATAATATTTCTACAATCGTAAAGTGTAGGTATGTGAATAAACATATTTCATTTCTAGTGTTGCACCGCACATCCAAACTTATAACGTGCAATAATTTGAATAAGAAAACACCATAAAAATTATTTGTAATACTTTCATTGCAATAAAATCACCTATATCAGTGGTTCTCAATCTTTTTAGGACCGTGACCCAAATTTTCTTCCAAAAATCTATCACGACCATAGTTTTACATTTACAGAATCAATAAAAATAATTTCAAAAAACAAATTTTTTCTATTTTATTACTTATTTATTACTTTATAATAATAATAATAATAATAATAATAATTATAACAATATATTTATAATAATAATAATATAATATAATATAATACTTAATTAATAATTAGGCGTATGTGATGAATGTGCTTGTTTCTTACAATCTGTATAATTAAAAAAACTTCTAGTGACTCCCCAAAAATTGACTCGCGACCCACAGTTGGAGAAACGCTGACCTATATAAAAGTCAAAAAAAGGAAAAAGTTTTGTGGAGTATTTTCAAAAATAATTTTTAGATATTCTATCAAAATAGTTTTGTGATAAAACAAATTATTAAAGAAAGTAATTTAAAACTAAATACTATTATACTCATACTCAATTATAACTATTGACTATTGAATTTATAATGTACTACCAAGCACCAGATTTGGTTAGACTTCTTAAAAGTTAATTAAAAGTTTATTATTATGCTTATAATAAAATGATCTTAGAAAAGTTATTACCTAGTTATTTTATTAGTATTTTATAATAGATTAATAATAACTTATTATCTACCCAATATAAAATACTACAGATATATAAGGCTAGTTAATTTGATTTTTCCGGGTTTTCAGTTTTTTTAGTGAACCATTTTACAATCAACATAAGTATTGATTGTAATTTTTTTCTATATCTTTTATGATCATAATAGTTGGATAGTCTTTATATTTTTATTTTTTAATCATGATAAGTCTAATTAATTTAATTTAATATTAATCACTCATAAATCAGCTTTGTAAAATAAATTTCATAGAATTTGTCAATATATTCACAGTTCATTATTTAAAATATCATGAACTTGCTGACACAACATACAGCCTTAAAAATACACTACTATTTAAATCGATTAATAAATAAAAATTATTGTATTCCAAGACAAATTCATTTTTTTATTTTTATTTAAAAAAAAAGTTTATTTAACAATTAAATATACAATAATAAGCAATTAAGTACAATAAGTAATTATGATAAAGTGATTTTTTTTTTTTAACATGAAATCGAAACGATAAAGAAGGGCTCCCAATGGAGTTTCCTATTTGAAATATTAGAGAGGTATAATTTTAATAAAATAAGTCTCTACACCACTTTTGTTTGAGTCTTCTAATGGGATTCTTTGGGATGTGGTATGAAGCAAGGTGTCTTATATTGGGGTTAGTATGAAAACTACATTCATTCTGGAGTTTACAGTAAGCAGTTTCTGTGACTTATTTTATAAATTTTATTTTCAGGTCCGAATGAAGGGTTTTGTTACTGACATACCAGGGAGATTCTGTTATAGTGGCTCTTCTTTAATGCAGACTGTTGGTGTGGTATGATGGAGGTAGTGAATCACTACTCGGAAAGCGGTAAGGGTGTATATTTCAACGAAAGTATTTTTGGGGATTTGAAGTGGGCACGCGCCCCCTTAGTCCCCTTGGATTCACGCCTGATATGGAATTCTAAATTTTAAACTTATCTTTAATTAACTCATAGGTATTTATCATATATGAAACATAATATTTATTTTCATGAAATCTGATGTTTTATTATGTGTAATAATATTTTAGTATTAATTTAAAATAATTTACACAAACATGTGACAAATAAATACTGACTAAGTGACAAACTGACAACAATATAATAATTAATAATCACAATCTATCCAAAACATCGTAGACAGGTCTGTTAATATTGTGATAAATTTATAAACAGAACTTTTTGACTGTTGATGTATTTTTAAAAATTATAATATCCGATCGACAATACAATATCGCACGCGTCCACCGGTATTGTTTAATTTCTGATGTTATAGTATGTAAACGCTTGGCAGTTTCCGACCGTTTCCGCAAATACCTGAAGTCGGGGGAAATTTAATTGAAGTTTATGTGGGCATGAGGCTGCTTTTGGATAGTGGCTATAGTATATAATAATAATAAATTCTATACTGTTGTTGTATAATGTATGCCTTATGGTGATGATAAATTAGAAGTTTGCGTATATCCATTATGTACGAATGATTAGTTAGCGTATATCCATGATAGACGAATTTTCTTAAAGGTATATGCATAAATCCAAAAATAGGGATGCGGGTATATGGCGTATACCCGCGTATACCCTCCAATACACCACTGTATCTATGCCATGTAGTATATTATATTGACGAATAGTCAATAATATTTGCGACGACTGCAAAGCTTAACCGTCATTCTCTCGTATCTGGTATCTAAGTTACTATTAACATCCAGCTGATCCGATAAAAGTCCGATAAATATCAACAGTTTATTGCGCTCATATTATCGATCGATTACATTTGGCAACGCTGGAAAAAAAAACTCAAGCGTTCTCAATCGTGTTACCAAAAATTACGTTGTCAATCTTATTTTACCGCAATTGATTTGTAATTTATATTTGTGAGTAAATTATGAAAATTAATATAATCATATTACTTGAATAACAATGATTTTAATTATCTTAATGACTTAGATAAGGCAGGTTACATTATAAATGAAAATCGGTTAGCGGCTATTCTAGCTACAAATGGTTTTAGCTATTCATCAATACTTCGATAATAATTCACAGCTAGTGTTAAAAAGCTCCAACTAGGATTTTACTAGATATTAACTTATTCAACATCTAAAATTAAATAATTGGTACACCAGTAAATAAGTAACGTATTATACATTTAATGCCGTTTTTTTATCCTACCGAAATATCTTCTTTTTTCGATCTAAACCTAAAAAAAAAATAGTCTCAGCTTAATAATTAAACTACTAATATCTAGCAACAATTAATAGATAGTAATTAACAGCTGAAAATGTTTAAACGTACATTTTCAAACTTTTGTAACAATTGAACTGGGATGAACTGGCTAAGGCGGCAGGTGGGCGATCTTCGCTTGGGCCGGTAAAATGTTGGACTGCTTGAATTATTTTAAACTGATAAAATTAAAACTGAATATACATCAAAGTTGTGTATTTAGACAAAAAAATAATGAAATTAATTTAAA